CTACAAAAGCCCTGAGGGTCCCCCCGTGCGCGTCCAGCAGAGTGGGGCCGCGGTGGAGAAGGCACCGGGCAGAGGAGAGCTGGAAGCCAAGGAGAAGAAGGTGAAGATCCTGGAGCACCAGCGCAGGGAGGTGAGGATGGGGTCGGGAGGGAGGCACTGCCAAGGAGCAGGGTGGGAGCGGGTAGTGGGGACGCGTGGCTGGAGTGGCACGGAGAGACTGGGGCAGGGCTGCGGAGCCGCAGGGAAGCACTGCTGGAGCCAGGATTTCTGTCCAGCTGGTCCCTGAGGTGCTTTTGCAACAGGAGGCTGCTGGGGACCGCCATGGTTGGCTCGGGGCAGGGGTTGGGCTCCTGTTGAGCTGTCCCTCTCTCCCCGCAGTTGCTGGAGGTGAATAAGCAATGGGATCAGCACTTCCGAGCCACGAAGCAGAAGTATGAGCAGAAGGTAAGGCTGGGGTGCTTGGGGGGGCACGTCTCTGCTGGGTGCCAGCTGGGAGACTTGGAGGAGACTGGCTGTGGGGGAAGGTTTTGGGGCTGCCTGTGCCTCCTGCCCGCCCGGTGTGGGTCCTTCCGAGCAGCCAACATCCCCGCTCCCTCCCGGCAGGTCACAGACTTGCACCAGGAGCTGGCCGAGGCCCGCAGGGCGCTGACCGAGATGGAGTCAGAGCGGGAGCAAAAGCAACGGGATTTCGACCGCAAGCTGCTCCTGGCCAAGTCCCGGATTGAAACAGAGGAGGTGAGTCCCTCGAGAAGGGTAGCAGGGAGCTGCTGGCCCCATCGCCATGCCCTGGCTGATCTCCATCCCCTGGGTGCTGCAGGCAGAGAAGGAGAGGCTGTCCAGGGAGGTGAGGGACCTGCAGCAGAGGATGCGGTTCCTGCAGGAGCAGCTGGCTCCAGTCACCAGGCAGCGGGAGTACCAGGAGAAGGAGATCCAGAGGCTGAACAAGGTGGGGGCCAGGGCAAAATCCCTCCCTGCAAAACGTCTTTTATGTTCTCTGTCGTCTTCTCCTCTCTCAAATGCAAAACTGACCCTGATCAACCCCCTCCTGCCCAGCTCCTTGCCCAGGCGGGAGCTTCTGTCGGACGATGCCCACCACATCTCCTTAGGCTCCCAGGAAAGGGGGATGGGGGGGTCTGTAGTCCCTCTTGCTCTTGCGCACTTATACCCAATTCCCATGCTGGGCATGTGCCCATGGCCCTCTGGAGATGTCATGGGCACAGCACCTTGCTCTGACCCCCCGCTCCTCCTCTTCCTCTCCAGGCACTAGAGGAGGCTCTGAACGTCCAGGCCTCCCCGCCACCCATCTTTGCCAGCACCATGGAGCCAGCGGGGAAGGTGCCACAGCAGGAGCTGGTGACCCAGAACGAGCTCCTCAAGCAGCAGGTAGGGCAGGGCATGGAGCTGCTGGAGGCAGGGAGGGAGCTGCGTGCCCTGGACCTCCCTGGCAAAGGGACCTCCCTGGTGTGGCCAGGAGCAGCTCTGCAGACCTAGCGGGTGTCTGTGCTGTGGTGGTGGGGACAGGGGGATTGAACTCAGCATCCTCCAGGCCTTCAGCTGGCGGGACCACAGCTGTGGGCCACCGTGCCAACCCACCTGCCTGGGGTTTGGCATAGCTGGTGTGGTCAGGGATGGCAACGCAGTGACGGGGTGCTTGCGGGAGCTGTCCACCCTTGGCCAGGTGCCAGGTGCACCCACACCCCTCCCTCCTGCCAGGTGAAAATTTTCGAGGAGGACTTCCAGCGGGAGCGGAGTGACAGGGAGAGGATGAATGAGGAGAAGGAAGAGCTCAAGCAGCAGCTGGAGAAGCTGCAGAAGCAGCTGGTCCTTTCCAACAACCAGGTGAGCAGCGCTGAGTGCCTCCAGCAGCATGTTGGGAGCCCCATGTTCCCCCCCAAGTGTGTTCCTCCTGCCAGGTGAAAATTTTCGAGGAGGACTTCCAGCGGGAGCGGAGTGACAGGGAGAGGATGAATGAGGAGAAGGAAGAGCTCAAGCAGCAGCTGGAGAAGCTGCAGAAGCAGCTGGTCCTTTCCAACAACCAGGTGAGCAGCGCTGAGTGCCTCCAGCAGCATGTTGGGAGCCCCATGTTCCCCCCCGAGTGTGTCGGATGTGTGCTCATCCCCAACATCACAGCCCCCAGACCCATCAGCAGGGGCTGAGCAGGGACAAAAGAGCTGGAGCGGTGGTTTTGCTGCAGCTTGTCCCTGCCAGAGCATCTCCTTTCACTCGCCTCTTCCTCTTGCCCCTCTCCTGGGGGTCTGATGGGGGGGCACCAGTGCAGGCATTCCCACAGGGCATGGCAGCATCCCCTGCCCCACAGACATGGGGGGTAGTAGGGTGGGCTCTGCACTAATCCCCCTCCTCCTTGCTCCCAGCTGCGAGCCTGCAAGGAGGACTGCCAGCGGGAGAAGGAAAAGGTGAAGAAGCTGCTGAAACAGCACAAACAGGTGGGGACAGGGGGAAAAACCCTTCTTGGGTGGAGGGGCTGGGGGCTGCGGGCCTGGCCCTTGTCTGCTCTTGGAGGGTCAGCTCTGAGCTAGGCAATGGGTGGTGGCAGCGGGCTGCCCTCGGGGCTCTCCCCAACATCTCCCTCTGCTCCTTGCAGGCTTCCGGAGAGAGGCTGCACCCTGAGCCGCGGCCGGGGCCGCGGGGCGGTGCCTGCCCCCTGTACCAGTACCAGTACAGTTCCCCTGTGGCTTCCCCCCTGTACCACGGCTTCGACGAGTGGCAGCAGCTCCCATACTCGCCAGCAATTCCAGGCGAGCACACGCCAGGACAAAATTTCCACCATTTTCCCACGGTGAGTGTCTACGCATGCCGGCATGAGGGGGAGCAGAGGGTCCCATGTGAGCGGGTCTGGGGCTTGCCACCAAGCGAGCGGCTCTTCCAGGGCCACCAAGTCAGCAAGCAGGGAGCTGAGCACGTATCCTGTTGGCACATGAACACTCAAGTCCTCGTCCTCCTCCTCCTCAAGCGCTGGCAACCGAATACGGAGCGTAGCCTTGTGATTCTCATCTCTGATAATTCCTTGTTTCTGTTCTGTCTCTTCCTGCAGCCCGAGTACCGCTGGCACCCGCCCTGCGCCATGGCTCGCAGCCAGAATGCTCAGGCAGTGGCCGGGGTGAAACCGGTCCCCAAGGACTTGGGTAAGGCTCAGACCCTTGGTGAGGGGAGCTCCCCTGTCCTTCACCCTGAGACCCTGGGCATTTGGCTGAACACTTGCAAGAGGAGATGGGGGAACAGCTTGCCAGGCAGCGGCCATTTCCCTTCAGCCCCCACCTCTGATCAGCCAAGGGGATGATTCTGCTGTGGGGTTGGTCCCTGCTGCATCCCCCCCACCATCCCCACAGCATCCAAAGATGGGCGTGAGCCTGAGCCCCAGGCAGCCCATAGGGTTATGGCAATCAGTGCTTGGGGATAACAACCATCCCATGGCTGGCATCCCTCCCACGGGGCTCATCTGGGCACGAACAGCTGCGCTCACCCTGTGCTGCCCCTCTCTTGTGTCTCAGAACAGGCAGGTCCTGGATTGCCCTAACGCCAAGGACCAGCTGCACCGCGATACCAGTGGAAGAGGAGTAGGGTGTGTGTGTGTGCCCGTGTGTATGTATCTAGGAGCTTCCTTCGGCTGCCTATCCCCATGCGCGGAGATGTGGTGGACATGGCTGCACCAGTGGCCTGGAGCGGCTCGGCAGTGCATCCCCGCGAGGAAAGTGCGAAGGAGGAACTGGAGGTGCCGTCACGGTGGCAGCCAATGCAGGGTTAGTCCCCTGCGGCCATCCCCTTCCCCACGAGGTGTCAGGCCTGGCATCACTGTAGACCTAAGCCAGGTCTTTAGGGAAGAGGAGCTGGTGTTTCCCAGGAACACGCCAGGAGCTGCCCCAGTCCAGGGGCTTTGGTTCAGCCTCTGAAGGAGCAGATGACGGCGGGGACTCT